AGCAATAGCCAAAAGATTTCCGCCGAAAAAATAATTCTGCAACTTATTCAAATTCGAAACCGGAAGGGTAAGTTGCAGAATTATTTTTCCCGCGGAAATCTTTTGTCTATTGCTTTTAGCACTGATTCAAAACCGTATTCGCCATAACCATGTACACGTCGACTTAATTTTTACTTAAAAAAACATCCCACAATTGGACAAAAATGGCACTGCGCACACTCTTGACTTTATCCATGTACACTGCTATTTTCTCATAAATTACAAAAATTTGCACGAAAATGCAGGAAAATTTTGTGAATTTCCACATGCTCTTTTTACAAAACTACGTATAACACGTAAAGTTGCCGTAAGTAGGGTCGCCAAATTTGGCAATTTATGCGAATTTTGGCCTGGTTGCGTTAATACGTAAGTACCATAAAGTATTACAAAATCATAGCAGATTACACAATGGCGAATTTCCTAAATTCAAAAAAGTCAACCAAAAAAACTCTTAAAAAATACTAATTTTTTACCTAGCAAATTCACAGAGAGGTTGTTCAGGAATTCGACGAAGTTTTGAATACACATGCAAAACGTATTTTATAGTAGCAATTCACATAAGTTAAGATCTTATTGTAGTTTCTTTAGATTATACTTGTATAATTTTGACAAAAAGTGCTTTAAAACAAAATTTACTGTTACAAGTCTGCAAAAACCTACCCTTTACAAGGGTATTTAGGTTATCTTTAGATACATAAATTGCTCTTCCTAAAATGCAAAATTAAGCATATACGGAATTCACGAAGTCTAGTTTCAAGATACTTTACTGCTCTCTCAACTGGAATATCAGTAATCAGTGATTTAATATCAAAAGAAACCATAACTGAACATTGAGAAGAAATAAATCATTTATTGATGACTTTAAAAAAATTTTTTTACAACAAACATTGTTAGAAAGCGAAAGGAAAACTTAGATGATGTTGGGCTATTAAACTACGATTCCATAAAACTATCCTAAAAGAAACTATGATGCTATTTCCACGTTAAAAATTATATGGCCAAAAAAAAAAAAAAATCCAATTTAGTGAACTTTGGGAAGAGCATAAGCAATTGGCGGAATAAGTACTTTTTTTAAACCGAGCTGGAAGCATACTATGAGTTCAGTCATATGGGGAAATTATTATAGGTAGCAGCTTTTTTCACTTTCATGAGGTTGGACGTCAAAGGATCTTTGCTGATCCACAGTATGGGCTTTCATTAATCAGTTTAGAAAATCCATCAATGTATGTGTGTTTATCCATAACAATGATCTGTCCATCCTTATCAGCTTTGGAATAATAGTGTTTAAATCAGAATGAATTTCACATTAGATCTTTCTTTCCTTTTGGTTAAGATCTGAGATGAACGATTTATTATTAGCATTAATGTTCTAAGTAATCAAGCAGTAGATTATACCCTTTTGTGTTTGTGAAATTTTACTTGACCTAAAAGCTCTTTCAGCAGTGATTAATTAAAAGCAATGATTGAGAAGCTAAAAGTATAGATGTTTTTGGAAAGTTGAAGTTATATTTTCTTTCATTTGATACTTCAAAAGCAATTGATATATTAGCAATGGAGACTAGATGACAGGAAAGTCAGCTTTTGAAATTTAGAAGCAAGAAACTTTTTTATGGCAATGACAAGAAGTTTCAGTTCTAGACCAAGATTTTTTTATCAATACAGGAAAAATCACAAATAAAACTGGAAAATCTCAAATCAAGATACATTTTATACTTATTTATTTATATTATTATTTTAGAAAAGCATCAACACTTTTCTTATGATATGAGTAAATAATAATTTATGCATAATTTTAGAAATACAAATGGAAAATTTAAGACTACATCTAACTTGCATAAACTTGAGAATGCTATTCAGATGTTTGCATATAAGGAAAAAATGGAGATGGTTCAAAAACTTTATATGCCTGAGGAATAACTTGCAAAAACCAATTGTTCCCTAATAGCATATTAATCTAAATTGGAAAAAAGAAAAAGATGGTAAACACTCAAAACATGGAATAGCATGGAAAAGAGCAAAATAGTTAAAATACATAACTTGATGAAACCGATAAGAATTTTAAATTTTAGCCCCGCAAAAACTGTCCATTCTTTGGTTGCTGAATTGGATTTCCTTGAAGCTTTCCCCTTCACAAAAACTTATTTTCTTTTATTGATGGCATTAATTTCAATATCTAGTCCTTTGTAATTGCTTTTAGATTCTAATCTCTGAATAATTCATGTTCATTATCATTTTCTTGGACAGATGGCAATGCTGTTTAACCACATTACAAAACCAATTATCTGAACTCTGACTATATGAATCGCTTTCAGAAATTTTCATAATCAACTAAAAATGAGAAGAAATGGAGAAAAGGAAAAAGAAGCTTAAGAAACGGAATGGGAAGAGATGGAAGATGACGATGATTTGAGGAATTAAGAAACATTCTTTTGAAAATTCCTGGTGTTCAGAAGTTAGTGCTGAGAATACAGTAGAATGGATGGTGTGCGATTTGTTTCAAATTTTAAATCATGATGAATTTATTGAAAGGATGAGAAAAGAAAAGTGTCGAGGAAGATGACCTTAAAGTCGAAGATGAAGCAAACACAGAACCATCAGCCGGCTTTGAAACTGTGCTGAAGTGGATGGAGCGTCAGCCCGAGTGTGACCACATGCAACTTCTCATTGTCAAGCAGATGCATAACTTGGCTGCCTGAAAACGGATGAAGACAATCAAACTTTGACTCGGATGTTGAGCAAATAATAACTTTCAGCCCTTGTAAGTACTGTACAGTACACTATATAACATGTATGTAAAAGTGTTGCCTTTTCATTTTAATTCATTAAAACTTCTTTTTCTTTAAAAAGTTTTTCTCCCATTTTCAACATATAGTAAGTAAAGTGTATATAGGACCCTTTCTTTGGAAAAAAATCCTATTATTCAAATTTTTGATTATCTGAATGGGGTACAGTCCTAATTGATTTGGTGGTGTATTTAATTATGGCAAAGCACACTAGGGCTATCTGCCTAAGGGGAGGGATGCCTTCGTGGAGGACTTTCTAAGGGGAACTGGCTCGTATACATGTTACACATGGAGAAAACCATGAAAACGCCCATGCAGCCAGCCCGTTTGTGGTAGTTGAACCTCGGACCGAACTACCAGTGTTGAGCGACTTTACCGCTCGGCCGCAAATCAATTAGGGGTCCCTAATTGATTTGGATAACTGGAGTTCTACTTAATATTGTTAATTTTAAAAATGCATTTATTCACTAAAAGATGCAGATAAAATAAATGGAGTAAACATTTCCCTACTTATAATTCTTAATTGTACTGAGTACATACTGCAATATACAGGTGTATACAGCTTTGGTAATGGGGTCCAAAACATAAAAGCCCAATTAATGTGAAGATAAAAACCATTCATTTATTGAGATTCCCTTTCTAGCATGATTACTTTTACAAAATTTTAAATACTGTATGTACAATATAAAGTTTTAAATACAGTATAAGAATGTCCAAGTTATAAATTTTAATAGTATCAACTATAAGCATTGCAAAGTGTTGGTAAGGAACAACTGAAACAGTTTTTGATAACCACATGCATGAGTATCACTTTGTTGTTTTCTCACTTGCAGCGACATATAAGCAAAATGGTTATTTCTGCGAGTAAAACATTTTGTGTTCTACAATTTTCTAAAAATGAATCTGCGATTTCAGTTTAACGTATGCTCTGTTTAAAGTTTAATTGCGATCCCTCACGTGGCAAAAACATCGGCCGATGGCACAGGTTGACCTGATGTGTTCGTAAAAGGAAAAGCATGGGACAGCCAAAAGTGTCTGTACAGGATGTGGACCATGCCAGAGCATCTTACCTTCATTCATAGTCCTAAGAAATCTGTTCGAAAATCAAACGTCGTTTGCCAAAGACGACAGTTTGGATGGTTTTAAGGAAACATTTATTTGTACAATTCATACCAGTTACAGTTGGCACATGCCTTAAAGCCAGATGACTTTGGTGTATGTTTTAATTTTGCAAGAGAAACGTTTGAGCAAGAAGTTGACTTTCTTGATTGTGATGTTCAGTGACGAGTCAACTTTTCATCTGAAGAGGAATTCAAAATGTTAGTATCTGAGGGTCAAAACATCCTCATCCATCAAAGAGAATCCTTAACATTAAATGTTTTCTGTGCACCAACATCAAGTGCAAGGACTATTCTATTACATTGAAGCTAATGTAAAAGAAATTGCTTATCTGGATATGTTACAATGGTTCTTTTCCCTATTAGCAGAGGGTGAACCTGTAAACTTGTGGAGCCCCTCCCCATTGGAATCTCTTTTGTAAAAGAGTGGTTGAACATCAAAGTCCCTGACTATTGGATTGATCATAATGGTCAAAATGACAATGCACTTTTTCTCTGGCCTCCACATTCATTTAACCTAGTGGCACATAATTTTTTTCATTTGAGGCTTTACAAAAAGATTGTGTCTACGTTTTGCCTTTAGCTAATGATCTGCCAGAATTGAGACACAGAATTTAAAAGGCTGTTGCTTCCATTACTCCGGTCTTGTTAACCTAAGCATGGGAAGAATTGGACTAAAGATTGGAAATGTGCCATATAACTAAAGGTGCACATACTGAACATTTGTAAAAAAAACTAAACTTACCTTTAATTTGATGTATGACTTGTTGTAACTAGTCTAAATTAAACTGATATAATATATAACTGAAACTGAGACATTATTTTATGGACACCCTATATTATGGAAAGATAAAAAATTTTGCCTTGGATTAAATGTCAAAATGAAATACTGACTTTTTTAAAGGCTGTTTATTACTGTTATGTACACAATGAAAACTATAATAAATTACTATTTCTATTAACAAAAAATCCATTATTTATGCTAATATATACAATATAGCATGCGACAGCCTAGTGTCTCAGTAACACATTAAATCACAAAATAAAAATTAATACAAACTTCTAAAGCTTCCTTAGTTATAATGGCTTTTTCCAAGGCAGCAATAACTTCCAAAACTGAAGCCATGTCCACAACCTAAAATATCACACAATCAGTTACAACAAATTAAAAAAACATGGTATACAAGACATAAAAATAACCTCAATTTGAAGGAAAATTTGAGACGTTAAAAACCGCTGAAAGACTAAAACTTACAACTTCATATGAATATAATAATAGACAAAAATGGTTGGGTTTTAATGAAAATTTGCACCAATTGAATTATTCAATACAGTTAGTCACGAAAGTCTGCATACAGACTAAATTTTAAATTAAAAAAACACTTAAAGCATAGAAAAATGTATTTTAATCATTGCATTTTTTTCTTCTATTAGCTAAAATTGTAAGCTTAAATAAAAAGTAAATAATATCAGTGTAATACTTTTTACATTTTTTCAAAAATATATTTTGTCAAAAAAACTCAGAAATTCCCTCCAATTAAGTCTGCGTACACTTTAAAAAAAAAGCAAAATATAAGTTTTTTACATTACTTCAATACTTTGTAGGATATCCTTTATTCTTCAAAACAGCTTGCAGACGTCTGGGCATTGACTGAACTAGTTTTTCAGTGTCATCCGACGTAAATTTCGCCCATTCTTCCTGCAATTTACTAATTAGCTTATTTCGCGACGTAATATTGTGTTTTCGAATTCATTTCTCCAATTTTGCCCACAAATGTTCGATTGGATTGAGGTCTGGTGACTGTGGAGGAGTACGCAACTGTCTTGGAGTGTGATAGAGGAGATATTCCTTCACAATTTTAGCTGTATGTTTCGGGTCGTTGTCTTGTTGGAAAATAAAGGTATTAGAAAGGTTTAAATTTCGGGCACTGTCTCGTAGATTTTTCTTCAGAATATCCAGATAAACATACTTATCCATGACTTCATCAATAATGTGAAAATTTCCAACTCCTTTCGACGACATACACACCCATACCATCACACCGCCAACTCCATGTTTGACAGTTGGATTTTAATTTCTCAGATTCAGTTCTCTTTCTGGTTTTCTCTATACAATAGGGTGGCCATTAACTTTAAATATTGTAAATTTACTTTCATCTGACCAAATTACATTGTTCCAGAAGTCCTGCGAAGAGTTTAAATATGTTTTGGCAAAAGCAATTCTTTTCTTTCTATTTGTCTCGGAAATGTATGGCTTAGACCTAGGTTTGCGTCCATGATAATTTGGACTTTCGCAGCACTTTTCGTACAGTTTCAGTAGAGAAATTTCCTTGTTGCTAGTTAAAAAAATGTCTTTTGCAATGCTTGCAGAAGAAAGTTTAGGATTTTGTTTAATTCGTAAAAGAATTTTTCTTTCTTCTCTCTGCGTTAGCTTCTTCGGTCTCCCACATCTTGGTTTTACAGCAAGACTACCAGTGTCAAGATAGTTTTGAATAACTCTTTGCACACTAGAAAATGGTTTTCTAATGGTTTTACCAATATAACGAAGAGTTTTACCTTCATCTCTCAATTTGATAATTAGTTGTCTCGTAACTAAAGGAATTTCTTTATTGGTTGTCATTTTCGTCAAAGAAAATAGAAATAACAAACCCAACTTAGAAAAACTTTTAACGGGCAGACCCAATTGCAATAAATTATATCTGAACATTTAAACCTGAAACTTGAGAATTTTCAATTAATTTTATGTACTCAAATCCCCACCCAAAATAAAAGTTCAACCTCTTTAATTTTCTAATTAATGAGAAATTTTCATTTCATTACTCAAGCAGAAATACCACTAAATTTACTAATATTACTGAAGCAAATACTTTAAAGCACAAATATTGTAGAGAAAATTAAAATCCATAAATTCGAAGATTATGTTTAGTTAAAAAATTGAATTAAATGGCTCAGGTTTTTATGAAATTCAGTTAATCATTCTTATAAATAAATCTGATATTTCTTTTGGTTTTATAGCAATTTCTTTACACCTTTGAGAAAGTACATGCCGTTTACAGTCATCTTTTATGCTACATGCAACAATGAAAAATATGGTTACTCTGTTAATAATGTTTCTAATTTTACAGTACACATGTGGAAGGCACCAATGAAGATAGCATAAGGATTCAATTTTAGGAAAATCTCACTACAGCGATTTTAGTAAACAATATATTTACTAAAATATTTATTTTTCCTTTCATTTAGAAGCATAAAAGTTACTTTGAAAGTGTTTTCACTGGTAAATATACCATCCCCCACCTTACTTATATGCAAAATATTTTGATGCATTTTCACATTTACTTGCTCAAAATATTTCCCTCTCATTTATCTCTTTTTCCTTCTACTACATCTCCCCTCATACTGGCATTATTCACTTTGCATATATAATTGTATTTAAAATGTATAATAGTTCATTGCTGCATAAACCTTGATTTCATTAAGTATGGGCATGTTATGATAGTTCATATGCAAAATCCTCATTTATTTCCTAAAATCTGCACAAATCTTGAACCCACGTTGCAGATTATAGGAATTTTACTGTGTATATATTAAATGCAAATGAAGCTTATGAGAATTGTGATATTTTAATGAAACTGGATCAGGAAGAATCCATCAGCTTGCCTCTGAACAAAGAGAGACAAAGGTAGGAATAATTTTCATTGTTTAGATAGAAATTTAGAGTTTGAATGCTTATACTGTTGTTTTGATACAGAGATCAAAAGTAATATAAAACGTGTTTAGTATTTTTTGTTACCAAACGAATTTCTAGCGAGTCTTGACAATAGATGGTGCTACCTCCTCATGATTCATTTATGGATGCTATGGTAACAAACCTGCAAAGTATGTATATTCTCTTTTTTTTATTGCTACTGCGCTTTGAAGTTATATGTGCAACTAAAAATGTTGTGTCACCACAAGGACGGCTTTTCTTCTATTTTAAAGTCTGATTGTTGATAAAGTAGTAATACAGTCTGCTAGTGCATATCTTACTTTGTAATTATTCTGGTCCTTTTACCTCGGAATTGAATCAGTTTCGATTTGAAGTTGGCAAATATGCGTGTGGCATAGTGTAGAAACCTTGGCACTGGGGTGAGTATGTTCCAATTTTTCTCTGTTGTTCTGCTAAAAGTTGTTAGTATTTATTGTTATTAATAATGGCTGATTTGACCTGTTTTAACTAAAAAGAATTTTTTTTTGTTGTGTCCTGAAAAAAATTATGATACATTCATTAAGGAACAACAAACAATACAAGAAACTTTAGATGATTTATGGACAACTATGAATAAAAAGTTACAGAAACCTTCCAGCGATTCTATTATCAAAACAAGTAGTGAAGCAAAAGTAAATTCATCCGGTGTTCAATTGCCAAAATTAAAATTTTCTTCCTTTACAGGGGAGGATACAGAAGAATGGATTAGTTTTTATGATCTTTTTAAAGCAAGTGTAGATAAGTGCTACCAATAAGTGCTACCAAACATGGAAATAATTTCATATGCGAATTTTCGAGTATTTTCAAACCTGGCTGGTAAATATTTGTAAAATTCAGGCACGCCCACTTCAATGAATTTTGCTTTCAAATTTGAGTTGCATTGAATCTCGATCACCTCCATTTGCATATGGCTGGGTACTGAGTCAATACTTATTGAGAAAATCGAAGAAAACAAAAAAAAAAAATTGTCTTCGAGGGAACTAAAATCATTAAACCTCGTTTCAAATTCAGTTGTTAAATTTGCAATTTTTTCTGCGTATTTTTGATACGAACAAGTATCATCTAAACTTGATTTGTTCATGCTGCACGTCGGGAAGTGCGTCAAATCTTCATTTTTAAGTTGTTTTTCCCAAAGAACTAGTTGACATTTGAATGCTTTAATTATGTCAAACATGTTCGTAATGATATGATCTTTTCCTTGTAACGATAAATTTAAATCGGTTAAGTGTTTGGTTATATCAACCAAGAAAGATAAATCTTGTATCCATATTGGATCGTAAAACAAACTTACGTCTTGATTTTTCGTTTTTAAAAACTGACATATTTCTTCTTTCAAATCCCAGAATTGTTTGAGAATCTTGGAGCAAGATAACCAACGTACCTCGGTATAGTAGGACAAACCCGAATATTCACTATCTAACTCACTTAAGAAAGCAGTGAATTGACGCTGATTTAAACCTCGAGATCTTATAAAATTTATAACTTTTTTTTATATATGACAAAACATTCTCCATATTTATTACTTTCGTGCATAGAACTTCTTGATGTATAATACAATGCATATGATGAATGTTTGAACCGTGAATTTCACTAAGTTTTTTTCTTAGTAATGCTACGAAGCCCTTGTTTTTCCCGGTCATTGATGGAGCGCCATCTGTAGCTACAGAATTTAATTTTGCCAAAGGTAGATTGTATTTCTGCAGAAGTCCAAAAACACAAGTAAATATATCTTCTCCTGTGGTAGTACCAGGCATCGGTATTAGTTCCAGTAATTCCTCAAAAATGTTAAAATTCTTGTCACAAGAACGAAGAAACACTGCTAATTGAGCTTTGCCACTAATGTCCGTGCTCTCGTCACAGGCAATGGAGAAACTTTCGAAACTAGATGATTTTGCTTTGATCTGATCACTTAAATTCGCGGCTAAATCAGTAACTCTTTCCGCAACTGTATTTCGAGACAATGAAATTGATTGAAAAGCCTTCACATTTCCAGGACAAACAATTTCTCCAGCTTTCATTAGGCATTCCTTGATGAAATCAACAGTAAAAGGCTTCGAATGTTTAGCTATCAACTCGGACAAGACGTAGCTTGCATGTACCGCCGCTTCACTTTCTTGCAATACTTTACTAAACATGGACTGTTGCTTTTTCACTCCTAACTTGAGCTCTTTCAACTTTTCTTCTCTCATTAATCCTTCGTAATTGTTATATTTCGATTTGTGTTGTTCGTAATGACGTTTAATATTATATAACTTTGGTACATTAATAGTATTAGATTTTATCTTTTATTTCACAGCAAAAATATTCTAATTCCCATTTTACTTGGAATATTCTATGTTCGTCAGCGATTTTTCGTTTAATTTTACTACCACTTGGTTTTGATATAG